TTAGATACAGAGCCGAACTTACTAAAAGTGCTTCCAGACAAAACTATATCCTTAATCGAGCAGCAACTGCATGGAATGAACAACCGGATGAAGTAGTCGATTCTCTTAACTTAAATGAATTTAAAAACAATCTTGATAAGCATCAACAAAAGACTATAATTTAGTGAGGCCGTGGCGCAGTGGCAAAGCGCTTGCTTTATATAATTTATTAAGATTTATAAGCAGGAGATCCAGGCTCGAAGCGAGCTCTGGACATATTTTCGCGTCACGGAAGGAAGGAGGCGTGAACTTCCTGATTAAATGCACTTTCGCGGTGCTCTGTGACAAGAACGTTAGGTCTTCTTGGGGCACCTAAATAACAAAAAAAATGTTATGATTGGCTATTTCAGGGTGTAAATCACACTTGCTGCATTAATACAGTCACATCTTTATTATTAGATAAAATATAATAAAAATAAAATTAAAAACTATCAATTGCATAAACCCTTTAAATAACAACCAACTGCAATTAAAAAATCAGCACTCTTTTATGTGCTTTCGTTTAGCACCACTTCACTTTATCACTTTAATCTTTGTTCTATATCGCTCTCCTTCATCTCAAGACTGCGCTCTTCTTGATGTTATTTCTAAACATATTAACCAAGCCATGTCTCTTTATCCATCAGCCAATATTGTTGTTGTTGGTGACTTTAATGTTCATCACACTGAATGGTTTGGCCTTAGTGTCAGTGACTCTGCAAGCATAAAACCCACAACTTTTCCCTTTCTCAATCCCTAACTCAAATAGTCAACTTTCCAACTCGCTTTCTAGACAACCAAAATCCATTACCTTCGCTACTTGACTTATGTCTTGTTTCTGATCCTAGTCAGTGCTCAGTTTCTCCACATTCACCTGTAGGTATTTCTGATCATAGTTTGATCTCTCTGATCATAGTTTGGTCATTCTTTTTTATCATCAGAATCCCTTTATCAACGTACATCTTACAACTACTTTGAAGCTGACTGGGACTCTTTCCGTGATTCTCTTAGAGATGGCTCTTGAGTAGAAATCTTTCGTCTTCCTGTTAACAAATGTGCTTCTTACATAACTTTGTGGATTCAGGTTGGCACGGAATCCTTTATTTTCTCTCGACAATTCCTGGTCAAGCCTCACTCTTCTCCATGGTTTTCCTCTCATTGTGCTGGTGCAATTGCCAATCGAAACCATTACTTATCTATCAGCCAAATGATTCTCTAGAAAACAGACGTCTGTTTATTATTGCTAGGAACCATTGTAAAAAGGTTTTGTCTAACTTTTGTATCTAAAGTGATTTCCTGCTTGGACTCTTCTACAGCTTGTGGCCCGGACGACATACTTAATATAGTCTTGCAGAAGTGTTCTCCGGAGCTGTCGTCTATCCTTTTAAAACTATTCAACAAGTGCTTATCAGAGTCTTGTTTTCCAGCCTGATGGAAAGCAGTATCTGTCATCCCTAATTTTTAAAATTCTGGAGAGCGATCCGACTCGTCTAACTACCGTCCCATTAGTCTGCTTCCTATCATAAGCAAGGTTTTTGAATCTTTAATTAACTAACACTTATTCTCTAATCTTAAATCTAATAATTTACTTTCTACTCATCAATAAGGATTTCAATCTTCTCGTTCTACGGCTGATTTGCTAACAGTAATAACCGATATGTTTTATTGTGATAAAGGCGGAGCGGTTAAGATCATTGTTCTTGATATTTCTAAAGCGTTTGATAAAGTTTGGCATGCTGGTCTTCTCCATAAGCTTTCTTCTTACGGTTTATCTGGAAATATCTCTAAGATTATTGAATCCTTCCTTTCCAATCGTATATTAAAAGTTTTCCTTGATGGACAGCACTCTTCTTCTTGTTTTGTAACCTCAGGGGTTCCTCAAGCTTCAATCTCTGGCCCTATACTCTTTTTAATTTACATCAACGATCTTCCAGATATTCTCACTTTTAAGGTGTCATTGTTCGCTGATGATACTACCATTTATTCTTGTCATGGTAAGAAGCCAACTCTCTCTGATTAATTGGAGGGGGCATTTGAGCTTGAAAAGGATCTCACTTCTGCTTTAGCATGGGGCTCACAGTGGCTGGTGAACTTTAATTCAGATAAAACTTTTTTTCAGCCAATCGTTATCGCAATAATTAAGACCATCTACTAAAAATCATAATCGTGTTAACGTCATTCAAATAAGTCTCATTCTTTTTCTGTGACTGTTCCTAAGTGCTCCAAAAACTCTTATTCGTCTAGTTTTTTTCCTCGAACATTAGTTCTTTGAAATTCGCTTCCTTCATCTTGCTTTCCCGATTCATTCAATTTGCAATCTTTTAAGTCGTCTGTCAATCGTTATCTTGCTCTAAAATCTTCATTTTTCTCTTTCAGTAACTTCAATCACTAATTAGTGGTTGCTTGCAGCTTTGTTGGAAGCGAAGATATTAAAAAAAAATATATCGTTCTGTCGATTTGGGATAAATTCAGACAGATCTAAAAACATTTTCACATAAATATATAACTAATTACTTTATAGTTATTTATTTTATATCACTCTTTTTTATATCGCCTTTCTTATCATATTTTTTAAAAGTTTGGCTTTTAAATATCATGACGAACCAAGTAAACTTTATTTCTAGAATTCTTATCTTCCTAAGCGTCTTTTTTCCTTGTTTATATTTATCAAGGTACGGACGTTGTAGGTACACACTTCCAACAGTTATAACCTTAATGCACATTCTCGTTTCAAGTATTTTATTGGGGGATGGAATAAATTCAGGCTGTGGGAATAATAATTCTGCAATTTTTGAAGCTTAAATAAATATAAATATTTTGAAAATGATTTTTAACGTTATATATTAGTGTAATGATCAAAAAATTTGAAATTTTTATACACACACTCACCTAATTCTCTGCACCTACAATGCGGCTATAAAAAAATGAAACCATGTGGGCCACAGGCTTTTATAAAAACAATGTTATGATAAACACTTTAATCAGTTTAATCACCTCTAAGTTAAGTTTACTAACCTTGGTGAGGTGAATTACCTACCTTAAAGGTGAGTTGCTCACCTTTAAGGTAGGTTTACTCACCTTTGAGGTGGGTTTACTCACCTTTGAGGTGAGTTTACTTATCTTTGAAGTGAGTAAACTGTCTAAAGTGTTTTTTATTTTTGCCGCACAGGTAAAATTTGCAAAAAAAAAAAAAAAAAATGTTATTATTCATGTTTTAGCAAGACTTGTTTAAACTTGAAAAGTAACAATAAACATGGTTTTGCAAGTTTTACCTGTGCAACACACTTAAGTAGTTTACTCACCTCAAAAGTGAGTAAAACGCTTAAAGTGGTTTTCATTTTATAAAAATAACTAATAGTAGTTATCAGTTTTGTCAAAAGACTTATCAGAAATTTAGTAAAAATGAATATTTTGCATAAGTTTTGTTGAACTATAATAAACCGTTAAGTTTTAAAGTGTTTTGCAGTTGTAGTTCAGTTTTTAAATTCTAGAGAGTAATTTATCTAAAAATAGTTTTCTTTCAATATAAAAAAGGATAATCTTTCATATATTGAGCAGGTTTTCTCAGAGTTTGTGCAAGGTAAGTCTATTCAAGATTTGCCAATTTAATTTAGTTATAAGTTTATAATTTAATTTCATAATTTTAATTATAATATAGTTTTGCAATATTTGAAGTAGCGTCAAAATTAACTTTAAAAAAAAGCAAAACCAAAACACTTTTTATAATACTAATGAAATAAAAAGTAAAGAAGCAGTTGAAAAGTTTTTAATTAATTTAAATGTTTAAAAAATTTCTTCCTTAAAATTTGATAAATAGTTTTCAAAAAAGTCACTCAATGTTTGGACTTTTTGATACAACCGAAAAGTCAATATAAACAGAACTATGCAATATATTTTTTAAACAAAAAGTTAATATACATATGTATTGATTCTAAAGTATTTTTAAAAAATGACAAACAAAAGCTAGAAAACTTAGAAATAGAGTGGTTTTAATAAGTTTTGGATAGGCGGAAGAAAATGTTTCAAATTAAATTCTTTTTATGATCTTCAATTTCTTTTTAATCTACAGAATGGCAATTACTATAATCTAGATAATACCTTTAAGGGGTTGTCCACAAATTGCGTCACACAATTTTAGACTGTTTTAGACCCCTCCCCCCTTGTCACAACATGGTAACTCTTTAATAACAAGTTCCCTATAAGTCATTACAAACCACTAACCCCCCCTTCATCCCTTAAGCATGAAATAATTTATAGGCGATCTCTAATGAAAACTGAAATAAAATGAAATAAGTTATTTTGTTCTCTATAAGTTTAAATTGGTCTTTGTTTCATCCAGATAATTTAACTATTCGGTCAAAAACAAAATTTTTTAAGTACATTACACCTACATTTTTAATTACCTACACCTACATTACCAACATTTTATTACTATATGATTTCCCTAGATTTCTATTTGTTGGTGTTGTTTTAATCAATTTTAATCAAAGTATCACCTGATCACATTAGACTTGCATTTTAAATTTTCACTATTTACTTATTTACACTTTTTTCATTCCTTAAATAAAGAAACATAAGTTAAGTCTAATTTTTAAACAGATTAATGCCATGAATAGCATCTTGTTGTGAAAAATCGCTTAAACTCTTCTATAATGTCATTCAAATAAAGAATGACATGGAAACTTGTCCAAACCACACAAGTGTACAACCATGGACATTAAACTTAAAAAAAAATTAAAATGTATAAGTATACGGTGAAAAAAAAAATCATTTAGAACTTTATTATAAAAGTGTTTCAAGATTTGTTAATGAATCTGGGATTGAATAAATTTGTTTCTGCTTTAAATATAAAGATTTTATTAATCAGTATTTAAATAATTTTATTTACAAAATTTAACTTAGTTACATTGTAAATTTGTTAAAAGAGAAAATTTTATTGTAAATATAACAAGAATCTTTAACTTGCAATTTTATTATAAATTAAAAATATTTTTTGATGGTTTTAAAAAAAAATAAAATAAAATTAGTTAATAGTTTAAAAACATATGATTAACTAATTTTGAAATCTATTTTTTAAAGATATAGTCGGTTCAACATGGTGAATAGAACTGGAGAGGCACGTATCAAACCAGAGTAAGTTTTAAGAGTTTGATTTTATGTTAGTATATAAGAGTGAAATTTCTTGGTTTTGTCTTCTAATATTGGTATTTTGTTATGTGCAGTAAGCCATATGTTTTTTTTTATTAGGTACACTAAAGGATATGTTAATCATACATTAAAAAACACTTAATTTTTACTATTTTTATTTTTTATTTTTAGGTTTGTTCGTGAAATAACTAGTACTGAGGATATAGATAATTCTGAATTTCCAGAAGATGAGACAGCAAATAACTTTGTTTGCACCACTCAGTGTGATACTCAGAATGTAAGTATGCTAGAACCACCTCAACAAAAAAAAAAGAAAGGTCAAAATAAATGCCGTGGTAGTACAGTTCCCAGAATCAAAGATATTGATCGTTTGTGTCCAAACTTTTTGAAAAGTGAAAAATGCCAGTTCGAAGCCAATTGTAAATTTAGTCACAATGTTAAAAATTATTTAGACAAGCGACCTCCTGATATATCTAATAGCTGTATTAATTTTATCACTTCTGGATATTGTAAATATGGTATAGAATGCAGATATGGAAAAGAACATTTGACAGCAGATTTTAAAAATATAATAGACGAGGAAAAACATAAAAAATACCTTGCTAATTTGGGTAATGAAAATGCTCTTAGTAAAGAAAGTATGTTAGCTATTAGAAAAAAAAAATACCAATTTCCAAGAGCAGATTGCTATCTGAAATCTTCATCAGAGGGCACTCATAATTTTTTAGTGAATAATAGAGAAAAAAAAAAGGTACAAGAATATTATTTTTGTAGTATATTATGAAATAGTTTTTAAAATATATGAAATATTGCTTTTTAACTTTAGATTGATTTTAGTAACAAGTTGTACTTGGCACCACTAACAACAGTAATTTTCTATTTTGTGAACATAAAAATAAAAATTGTATTGTTATTTAATGTATTTAACTGCTTTGTTTTAAAATTCAAATACTAATATAATAAAAGTCCAAATATAAATTATTTATATAAAGTAGAAGCTTTGAAACAGGTTAATAACTTGGCTTGCAGTGAAGGAATCACACAGGAATATAAAGTACCTGGATTAAAATAAAGTCACTGTATTAAAAAAAAAGAAAAAAAAGAAAAGAAGTGCAAAAGAGGTCATTTAAAACCTAGTTATGCTTAAAGAACAATAAGAAAAATATTATACATTAGTGTTATGACATTTTTACAACCTCATATGACCTTAATCCTTTAAGGTGAGTATTGGTATAAAAACACTGAAATAAACATTTATTTATGTTTTCATTTCAAAAATCTCACACTTAAAAAAGCTGTTTTGAAAATATTACAACATAGTTAAGTTTGGATAAATTTTCATTTATGACTATATATAATATAAAACACAATTCAGAAAGAATTAGTTAAATAATATAATAAAATATGTGTTTGATAAAATAAATTTAAAATTAATTTTTCATTCCTTTTACTCTTTATTTTCTGCATGATTTTATTTGCTCTTTTCGGACCTATGTTACTTTTTTGTGTTTGAATTCTTGTATTGTCTTTATTTCAATGTATCCTAAAAATTGTTTGTGCTTTTTTGTATTTTTCTTAAAACTGTTGTCTAATTTTTCATTATAAAAATACTCCTGAAATAAAATAAACTTGAAATCAAACCAAATACCACAAATCAATTCACTAATTTTTAACAAGCATTTTCACATTGGTCGGGAAGTAGAAGAAAAGTAAGTAAAGCATGTATTGGTCTAGAGTTTCACCTTGCATTACTTATATTAGGTAGTTCTTTAAAAGTAATGAAAGAAATAACCCATGCTCTCGGTTATATTGGTAAGCATTTCTCAATTCATATAAAAACTGCATATTGTTGCACCATTTGATGTTTTTAAATTTTATTTTTACATCACTTTGTTAAAAGTCATTTTTTGACTTTCAACAAAGTGATGTAAAAATAGCATAATTTTTTACTGGCTTCTTGCATAAAATCATTTAATATATAGACAGATGTTGTTTTTCTATCAAGAATTTCAAGTTAATGCTTTTAGGACTAAATCTTTAGGACTAAATAAAAGACATCCTATATACTGAGGTGTAGAAAAGTCTTTTTCTTTAAATTACTGTTGGATCAATACAAGAACTCTATTTCTCATTTCAGTATTGACACTTATGATATCACAAATTATTAATAAACAGAAAACATAGTGAGTAATTATTTAAGAGTGATTTATATTATTATATAAAATAATTAATTTTAGTATTATTGTCTAAGATTAAATCCTCAAATAAAATACATAATCATCATTTTCCTTGATTGCCATCGGATCATTAAATATTTTTTTTTTAGTTTTACAATACTATTATTTTTAATGTTATAGTTATTACTTTTAATATTTTATGTCATTTATTACTTTTAATATTTTGTGTCACTTATTACCTTTACTATTTTGTGTCACTCTACTGCAATGAAGTGGTCTAATTTCTTTAATTACAATGATAATGAATTTATTATTGTTAATGCTATTAGTAATATTATTTTTACTGTATACTTATTTTTATTAAAATGGTTGTAAGGAAAACTAACTTGTGTTGATATTGTAATCATAAAAATAAATTTGTGTTGATGTTGTATAGAATAAAAATGTCTAGTAAAAAGGAGCAACTTTATTAATCTGTTTATTATTAATCTTTACTAATCTGTTTATTTAAAAGCATTTGCAAAAAAAACAGAGCAAAGCAAAGTTCTCAATAAGAAACAAATAAAATCTGGTCTGAGATTAAAACAAAAACCAAAGCATTATCTTAATGAAAAATAAAAGTTGAAAAAAAGATTGAAAGAGCTAAAACAAATTCAATTCCAAAATAAAGTTGGTATTTTATCTTAATGAACAAAATTAAAGAACAATACACAAAAAAAGCTTGTTGTTGAATCTAAAATCACTTTTGATGATCTGACTGATGTGACCCCATCAGTTACAACAAGTGAAGAGAGTCAAAAAAAAAAAAAAATTGCAAGAAAATTCCGATTTGTCAAAAGTTTTAACAAAACAAGCCCCAGAACACGATCTCTCCAGATCAGGAATTTATTTATGACTATTTCCTACCAGATCACACAAGCACAGAATGAAAAAGATGTTAAACTGCACTTGTTAGGTTAATAAGAGGACAAAATTCTGAGCATAAATATCATGCAGACATAAAATTTTCCAAATCATCCAACAGTACCTTTGAAACACTTGCTACAGTCTAGGATCCAAAAATAAGTTTTTAGCTTCAAGGATGATAGCCTAGGTGCTAATTTGATTGAGAGATGCAAACATATAAGCACCAATAATGATGCATATGGATTACAAAGTGACTTAAGCTGATCATGATTTTTTAGTTGCTCCTCAACACAAACTTATTTTTTCAGTAAGTGCAGTCATAGAAATCAAAAAAAGATCAGTATCAGTAGTGCAAAACATTCATCAACAGCACTTAGTCACTTAGAGTAAATGAGCAGAAGTAACCATCTTCCTGCATTTAAAAGCAGCTTGCTTACTGAAAAATTGAGTTAGCAAACCTGTCATGATTATAACTGTTGATGGTGGGCCAGATGATAATCCAAATATAAAAAAACAATTCATTGAGATAAGTCTACAAAAAAAAAAATTACAAAAGGCATAATCTTGATGATCATGATGACCTAGCCGGAATTATACTTCCATTTGATCATTTTGAAAGCCAACTTAATTCACGAGAAGAAATAACAGACTAAGTTATGGAGATGGCAAATTTTTCCATACCTAGTTCTTGCATAAATTTGGTATCTAATCTATATGG